GGTGGTGGACATGATAGAGATAGTGGTCGAAAACAAAAATGTCGACACGGTTGTGGGGGACAAAAACGACGGCGACAGCGATCGTGAACAATAACGACGATGGAGATGATGATCGGAGACAAAACGGCGACGAAGACGGTGGTTGAGGACAAAAATGATGACGGAGACGGTGGTCGAGGACAAAAATGAAAACGTTGTGGACGAAAATGTACTCTATGTGCCATTTTGGTGACTAGGGATATAAATGTCTTTTTCATTCTGTGAATAGTGTTATTTGTGGTAGATTTTGAAAGATTTTTTGGATTGTGGTAGATTTGAAAAATTAATTTTTAGAAAGTGGTAGATTTGGAAATAATCCTTTTGTTTTATTTGTACATGAAAATAAATTCAATAGATTCTCTTTTGGAGCCAAACCAGATGACCCAACCGGTCGCTTTCGAGTTTCTACATTCTATCAATTCTGCAACAAATTAAATATATGTATCATCTAAATGCACAACAAATCGTAACCCGTAACAAACACGCAAATTCATATTCAGACAACAAACACATCATAATCTCCTCAACGCCTCGATATCATCTCCTTTTTTCTCTCTACATCATAAATATATAATACATATATAGTATAATGCATGTTGTAGCCTGTATATAAATTCGTGTATATACATTTAAAATTCCGTATAATCATTTTCTTTTTTGGTATAATAAACATGAACCCTCTCTAGTCCTCAATAAATACCCCCCAACCACAATTCCACGAGTCCTCCCTCACTCTCTATTCACACTCACCCTCCATTGTGAAAGATCTTGAAACTCAAATCAAAACACACACAAAAAAATATTTTTCCAAGATTAAAGGGAAAAAAACACATTTTGAAGAAAATGGCGATGAAAAAAGCAAACAAGCTAACTCAAAAGGCGATGATCAAGCAAATCTTGAAGAGATGTTCGAGCTTAGGAAAGAAACAGAGTAATGTATACAGCGAAGACGAAAATGGACATCCTTATGACGTGCCTAAAGGTCATTTCGTCGTCTACGTTGGAGAGAATCGGGTTAGGTACGTTGTACCCATTTCGTTTTTGACCCGACCCGAGTTTCAGGTTCTTCTACAACAAGCAGAGGAAGAGTTTGGTTTTGATCATGACATGGGTCTTACCATCCCTTGTGAAGAAGTTGTCTTTCGATCTCTCACTTCTATGCTCCGATGAACA